CTCGGCTAACTCCATCCAATGCTTCTTGTCTCCCAGCCCTTCACTTTGGAAGCACGAATCGCAGACAAGTTAGCAAAGTTGTCACTGACCCTAATCCAACCCCAAATTGTAGCGATTTGATCACCACCACTTCGTACCAAAGTGCTGCCAGCATTTGTGACAGTTTGACTGATGAGATTGTCTTCTTGCCAGCTGCTCCAAATCACCGTCTCACCTGTAAATTCACCCGCTGTGTAGCAGTAACATATTCCATTAGTAAAGGCTACCCATAGTCAAAAAATCGTCATGTCTGCAAGATGGGTGGTAAAAATACCCAATTTGGATGAAATCGACGTAGTTGTAGATGCCTCACCCTGCGCATAGTGGCAAGCCGTAGGCATCACTACACTCTAGAACAAGTGTTAGTTTAATCCAACAGTCATCCAGAAGCATATCTCTTCTCAAGCCAAACATAAGATGCACCGATTTCAGATCTCGAAATTGTGTCATCCACAATAACGTGGAATGATGCATCCACTAATGTGGAAAATCACCCTCCCTTTCCACAAGTGGATGAATGCAATTTCGCATTTCGGGGTTGCATATCTCTTCGAAATATTCCACACGCAACTCTGTTTGTTTACCTCCGCCCAAAGCAATATAGGGCAAAACAAAACAATACTGGCAGTCCATTTCTTGCCTACTTCTGACGTATTTGAGGTGGACAGCGTCTCTTCTGGCAACGATGAAGATATCCCTCTCTACAGCAAGTAGGCCGCTGCAAGACTCACTTCTGCAGAACCACATTTGACTGGTCGTGTCGCGTCTCCTCTCTCAAAAAGGACGCAGTAATAAGGCGTGTGTCTGAGCCCAACAAAAGCAGATATGTGCAGAAGGGTTGACATGCCGATGGCAGAGGTGACACCATTGAGGCACCATGACACACGTCTTCGCAAATCACCTTTACGCAAAGGCAGAGAGGTCACCTATGCAGTACGTGACGTAGGCTATTCGCCGTCCATTTGCCTGTTGGATGTGATTCACCTCAAGCCTCATGAACAACGCAGTTATTCTATTTGCGGAGAGGTCGGCCGATGGATAGAAAAACAGTAAAATCAACTAGGCAGTGCAGAGGTCATCCCCTCACACATCCGCAGAATACCGAGACACAGCAGTCGGTGTTATAATCCATCGCTAAATCCACCAATGCTTGGCATCATGACGAA